GCTGACCAAAGATTCTCTGATTCCGAAGGGGAGGGGTGAGAATTATACATGAAAACATTTGTTCCTGATTGGACAGAAAGATGAAAGCAACCTCTGACCACTTGCTCTATCATGCATGGGGCTTCACAACAACTGGGAGAAGCAGGTATCTTATTTCCATTTTTAGAGATGGGGAAGAGCCAAGGACAAGAAGATGAATGGTTTTAACTGTGATTGTGTAGTTCAGCATTTTTAGAATGACAAACTCAGGGAACACAAGAGAGAGAAAGGCCTCAAAAGAGCATCTAGTCCAGCCCTTCTGTTTTACAAAAGGGGAAGATGTGTCCCAGAATGGAAAGGACTCATTCAAGATCACCCATCTACCGAAAGAGAAGAGACTAGAACTTCTGCCTTCTACACGCCATCCTTTGTGTGTGTCCAGTACACCATGACCATGATTCACACAAATCTCATTAAAACTTTATGGAATGGAGGTAAAAGAGCATTAAATTGGGAGTTGGAACACCTGGATCTTGTCCAAGTTTTGCCAAGTAAGCTTAACTTATATCTTTGAGTTTTAATTTCCTCACCTGTGAAATATGGGATGACAATGACAAAATCGACAAGAAATAAGTGGAAAGTCTTAGATTCATGAGAGAGGCAGAATCAGTTTCTGTGAAGCCTGAAGGTCATAACACTTGAAGCCCTCTTTAAGGATAATACAAAATTACCAATATAAAATTAGGAACAAAAGTGTGTATTTAAAATGAGAAAAGTAATACAATAGAGCATACATCTGAAAAATCAAATGTTAGACACATCTCAAAATTCAGGAAAAATGCCATCATAAAAGCAGATTTTTATTAACTACCTGACCCACCTCTGTAATATATTATTCCTACTTTTCTTGTCTGTTGTATTTGGAGACTCACAGGACTCAGCAAATTGTACTCACAGCTATCATTTATTATGGCGATGTAGCAAGGACAAACAGGTGGATCATGAGGGGAGAAGCCCCAGGCAGAGCCTGGAGGAACCCAAGTGCAGACTGTTCCTTCGGCAATGAAAATGCAGTGACATGTGTATAATGTTTCTGCCCAAGGCAGCCCAGACTCAATGCCCACGGTGTTATGCAGGGCTGGTCACAAAGGCACCCTCTGGCTCGTGTGCACCCAAATTCCAGATTCCCAGAAGGAAAGCAGGGATTCAGCATAAACCACATTGTTTTTAAAAACAGTTTACAAGTGAGCAAGGCTTATCGGTTTTCTGTTAACTGGGGGCTCTCTGAGAGCCAAGTGCCCAGATGCCAGCAGAGGGCCACCCTTATGAGCAGGCCTTTCTATGGACAGCAGTCTCAGGCCTGCTAAATTAACTCTTTTCTGCACACTACTCAATGTGTGTAGTCCTGCTACACGCCTATGCCTCAGAACCACAGGAATTCTCAAGAATCCCATTTCACACAACCTCCATCCAAATTTTAGCATGAATCTATGTTGTGTTTATAACTGCGTACACTGCACACTAACTATATTCCAGACAGGAGAGGACTTGTGTCTGTCCATTTTACATCTCTGACTGGAAGACTTTTCTGCAGACTAACTTTGGCTCCTTACATTGTGAACCTCGATTCTCCATGACTGCCAACACGCTTTTGGCACATAGTGCTGTAAAGCACAGCGACATCACATTGTGCCCTCCGGCCTCATACCTCTTGATCTGATACTGTGTGTGTTGGCACATTAAGAGGTATTCCTGAAAGCAATTTCAACACAGGGCAGCTCGCAATAACTTAAACATCTACAGAATTGGTGTGAGCCCCTTAAATCTCTCTCTAAATCCAAATTAAATGGATCTCAATTTAACATCCCCTTGGCCAGATTCTCAATATGCCCATGGTCACTGCACTGCCACCCAACACAAGAGAAAAAGTGATGGACACATTAAAATGAAAAGAGAGGTACCCTGAACCCACTGCGGCTAAAAAAAAAAAAAAAACTCTCGTAGATTTTACAAACCATATAAGTAGCATAAACGATAATGCTCGGGCCTCTTCAAGGCCTGTACAAGCCAGTGACCCTAAAGCTTAGTCATAAATTTCATAACTTCACTATACATGTGTGTCTACTCCAGAGAGTTACAGAAGAGAAACCAAACACAGAAAAGGCTTGGGACCCAGATAGCAAAGCAGAAAAAAGGAGAGTACACAATGAGAAGCAAAGAAATAAGGAAATGAGAACGAATTCCGGATAACCAGTATGCAGAAATACGTGGGAATGAGTGACCACCATGTGACCTAGGAATAGAGCGACAGCCTGAGCTGAAACACAACACAAGGACCCAAACTAAGAGCTGTCTTTCTTCTACACCTGAGGGTGAGAAATCGAACATGAGGTTTAGGTAGACACTGAGTGGACAGAAGGAGGAAGTGGTTCAGAGGAGTCAGGCTTTTTGAATCACAGGCAGAGAGAACCTGTGCTTGGCAGGCATAGAACTGAATTAAGCAATCCAGGAACCAAAGAGACAGCTAAGGCTTAAGTCCCAAACGGTACAGTCAGAGCATCAAATGCTTCCACAGCTTGAAAGGGCCTTCCAGGTACCATAGTCTACCCCCTACCCTCTGTGGGTAGAGGGAGCAGATAACCAGAGTCAGGAGGACTAGTTGAATCTTGCCTCAGTTATCTACTGTACATCCTGAAGTAAACCACCTCCCCTCTCTGAATCTCAGCTGCCTCGTCTTTAAAGTGAAGAGAATGATAATGCAGTCCCAGGAGCCCAGGGAAAATCTAGTGTGGTACTAGGATGAGGAAAGGGACCTGGACAGGCATCCTTCCTGAGCCGGGACACAAGGACCCAAGGGCAAGTATGTTGTGAACTGCAAAGCTTTACAGGACTGTCAGCGCACCACTTCACAGCCATGCATCACCCCAGCCCTGTGTGCCCTGGGTGCTGGTCCAGCCTATAAGCTGCACAAACACATGCCCACTCAGAAAAGGGAGCACTTCCATGCTCACAGATCCATGGATTCAAACAATGGGCTTCCATGCCAATGTCTAGCCTACTAGTATAGGCCCTTCACAAGGAACAAGCAAGCAGGGTTTCTTAGCACCTTGTTTTTACTCACCGCTCCTCCCCAGCCCCCCAAGCACTGCATGGAGCTTTCTGCTATGGAAGCTACTCACTGATAAAATCTCTGATGACCTACCACCTTCAATTCAAAGTGAAGTTAGATGAGTCGGCCAGCAGATGGCACAATGAGCTAGCCCTACATTACTCTTGTCAAACTCTAGTGTCATTTCATACACACAGCAGGCCCCTTTCCTAAAGCTTTCTCCAAGTACCATTTTTACGAACACTGTACTGGGTGATACAACATGCCAAGGAGACATGACTCATCATCCTGACTTCACCACATACCCTCTTCCTCCAAAGGCAGCACGTCCAGAGGTAGTGAGCAAGGGGTACACGCTGCTATACTCCTCAGTGTCTCAGCCTAGACACTTAAAGCTCAGGCCACCTGAGACGCAGCCTAGGCAAACCCACACCACATCTTCTCTGGGCCACACTGCTCAGCCTGGGCAACTCAAGGTGCCACATTGGGTAAATCAACCTTCTGGTAGGGTCCAGGAGGGCCTGGCCCCAACACCCTCACCCCATCCCCCACAATAATCCTCATAACATAAAGACCTAATGTCATCTCTCCAAACTTCCTTCTAAAGTCAAGAACAGTTGGAAACCTCATCTCAAACCAGGAGAATAAGGCAGTCTCAAAAGGAGATGGCCCCTATGTTCAGATCAGCAAGGACAGGAGCATGCTGCAGGAATCACGGCTCATCTGTGGAAGACTGCTCCTGGGCCACACAGGGCTGCAATTTATTACCATGTGTGCCCAGTCTCTACGTGCTGCCTGGCCTACCAGAGGCATGCAAAGGTTTGTCAAATGACTAAATGACCAAACGAGTGAATCAATGAATTCTTTTCAGGGACAGAACAAAAGTTCATCATTAAAACTGCAAGTGAGGGCATTGACCAGCTGCACCCAGGACATGCCCAGACACCTAAGGGTGGCATCTATGAGGTGAACCTGGTCTAGTTCCCAGCTGCATTTCCCATGACCTCAGTCTACAAGTTCATCACTCTGGCCAAGAATCTTCTCATTTCCCTCAGGTATCTGGCCTTTTCAGGGGGCCTGTCCCCCAATTCCTACCTGAGACACCTATTACCTTCAAGACCCAGTTCAAACGACCCTTTTCTCTGCATCCTTCTGCCCTGAGCCAGTGGATCCTTCCTCTTCACATTCACCTAATCTCATTCTGCCTCCTTTCACATTCCGCAGTTGACAGATTGCCCTAGAAGGTACCCTTCTCGGCACTGAGTGACAGAGAGAAGTGCGCACATATGTACCTGCACTGCCATGGAGCCTCTTACAGAGTGAGTGTCTGCTGACTTAAATCTGTTTTGCGTTACGATGTTTTGTACCCAGATCTGCCCTCTCCCATTCAGCCATGTTTACACAGATGTAAACAGATGCACGGTTAGCAAATGCCCCGGAAGCATACCCCTTCCTAGCCCAACTGGCTGCAGAGTGGAGTGAGGTCTGCAGGTACAAAGGTGGCTGGTGCCTATGTGTTCTGCTTAGCACACACCCATTCCTGGGGCACCAAACTCAGATGCTGCTTCTCCCATCCCATCAGTATGGACTGCAAAGCCTCAGGCACTGCAAGGGCCTGACATCGGACCCAGTGTGGGCCTCTGATGACCTGTGATGACAATCCTGGCTCTGCTGCTCCCTGAGGGGCTGATAGAGACTGTCAGGTCCATGTCACAGGCTGAAGGGACATCCTGTCCAACCCTGACTACTCCCTGCTCCCTTAGTGAGTAGTAGCCACCAATCGGCCTTTGGCACCCTAACTCCTTCTAAGCATCAGCTTCCTGAAGGCCCCAACCTGAGACGGTTGGTTCTGGAGTGGTCCAAAAAGCAGGTGGTAAGATGGGGTCTTGGTACCAGATTGATCCTCACCTACCCGTTGGAAATGAGGATCCCATCCTGGCGGTAACTGGTGTGCAGACAGCCCCGGACACAAGGCGACAGCTCAGCTGCTAGAAGACTCACGTTAGAAATTTTCGCTGAGCCAGCAGGTGGAGAGAAATTTCTTGGCAGGCGAGAAGATCCAGGCATGTGAGACCTATGGGAATGGATAGAGGTGACTTCCAGGCTTTGATGGCCCACGTGGGGTTGCAAAGCTTAGGGTAACTGACAAAGTGAAAACTAAGGGGAAGCCCCAGTCTCCTCAATAGCCTACAAAGTGGCCCCATCTCAGGCAGTGGACAAAGTTCAAACCCAGGATTCCACAGGAGTGGCTGAACATCAAAGACAGTTGAATCTTCAACCAAGGCAAGTCTGTCATGCCAACATCAGATGCCCACGTGGGAAAACCAGCATCCCTTTCCCATGGAGCAGAAGCATCTGGACTCCCCAGGTATCTCTGAAACGTCTCATCCTGTGGTGGCAGCCCATCCTTCCCATAGAGATCTAGAACACCGACCCCAGCCTTGAAGGAGCAAAAAATTACACTGGTCTTCCCCACAGGTGCCCTCCATCC